TGTATAATTATATTACATATTTTTCATTTATGGTTAAAACCTTGGTTCAAAAACGCGTCCGCCTAAGCGCCGGTTAAGCGCTCGGCGGTAGGTAGCCGCCGGGATTTGTCCAAATCGGAGAATTAATCGAACAACAACAATTTTTTGTTGTTTGTGGTTAAATATTCTATGATACATGTCAGATCTATCATATTTTTGGGAAAACAAGAACAAAAATGAGTTAAAAATGATGCAAATGTATGAAAAAAAATGAGCAGCCGCCATTATTAGGGTTAGAAACTCGTGAAGCTCTGTGAAGAAGACGACTGTAGAATGTCTGTTTTACTCTTCATTAAAGAATATGTTAAAAAGAGAGCAAAAACGAGATTTGGGGACTCAAACTTTGGCTTGTAATAGCATTTTACCAACTGATACCACTACACCAAGCCGAATTTATATTCTTTGTCAGCAAATAATTTCTATATATCCATAAAACTAGACTAAAGCCCTAAAATTAATCCCGATTAATTTCCGTGTAATCTCTGATTAACCGATTAATCGCTAGACCCAGCTCGACCGCCCGACTAACGCCTAGCGATTTTTTTAACAAGGGTTAAAACATATGTTCTTTAGCAACTGGATGGTCAATTGTCTACAGATATTACAAAAAATCAGCCATACAATGTCAGTAGATACTTGTTCTTTCTTCTTTTTTTTGTTCAAAACTTGTTCTAGTATTGCTTAAATCAAAAACACAACAACAACTCTCGGTCGTTGGTAAGTTGATGTTGAATTGAGGTGTCCTAGATTAACACTTACTTGTGGTTGGTCATTTAAAAGATTAAGAAAATATCTAATTTGTCAAACTATATGCATTCATAAACCCTTAACCATAAATCCTAAGCACTTAATGTAAACCACAACCCTTGTAAATTGATGACATCTACTTTATCAAATACTATCTCCGTATCACTTGAAGTGATATTTTACGGATTTTATTTTGTTTTATTTTAAGTGATGTTTTTCCTCATTGCAAAAGTTTAGCTTCTCTAACTATTATTTTTTTGCTCCTTGAATTGCTTTTATAGTTAATAATGTTTTAAGGTAAAGAGAAGTAAATTAAAAGAAATTTATATAATTTTTAATCTTTGTGCAAAAGCCTCAAACATTACTTAAAATGAAAATAATATTTTTGTAGAAACTTAATCTAAGCATTACATAATTTTAAAAAATTCTTAAGAAATTCTGCATATATTATGATTCAAAATTTTAAAAACGGATATATAATACTCAATTAATGAAAAATGTGTGTTCAACATAGCACATTGGCTAAAATGTTTTGAAAATGATTCAGAGTCATTATAAATGAATCCAAATTTGAATGAACAAGAAACTTAATATAACAAGCATCTAAATTTAAAAGTTTGTATACGGCTTAATTCGGTTTTTCAATTAAACTGTTTGATTTTACCGGATATAATAAATTTTAAACTTTTAAAATTTTTTAAGTATTAAATGATATATTTAAAATCAAGAAAAAATTTATAATACTATGAATATTTGATCATATAAAAATTGTAAAATATGACGGGATGTGTTATATTGCGGGACGGAGTTATATGACGGGACGAGTTTGAATCAACATTAGTAAAAATTTAAAATATTATTAACCTGCTGCTTCAATACAGATTAAATCCTCATTTGATTATTTTTAATACCACCAATATTAGACATATCAAATCAGCCTGATTTGGTTAAGATTGTATAAAACAAAAATTGTCCTGCAATATATCGTTACTTAATAAAAATTATAAAATATAAAATATAAATTTCTTAAAAATGATATATTTTGTAAGATTTTATATATAAAACATAATTATAACATTTTAAAAAATCATAATTACTTTAGAAAACAAATCGTCCCGCGGTGTAGCGCAAGTCAATTCCTAGTTCTATTATGGGATATGTTCCAATACAAGTAAAAATTTAAAATATTATTAACACGCCCCTTCAAATAATGTTTTGAGTAAATAAAATACTAATTGCAAAACATTTATAACGAAGACCAGGAATATTGATTGAGTAAATGCTTCATATGAGGTAGGCAAAAGTCCTCATCGGGTTTCTCTCTCTCTCTCTTTTTGCAGTATCGAACGCCCTTTTATGCTAGACATCGTTAAAAATGTTAAGTTTGCCCTAACCAAGGAATTAACACAAAGAGAAGAAAATCCTGAATTAGAAGGAGAAAAATCAGATGCCAAAGAAGGCGTCAACAAAGATCCAAATAGAACTGAACCAGGAGAACAACGTCTGAAGCAATTGGGAGAGAAATTGGATGTCGAGTGCAATGACAACGAAACTCGTATTGTTGCAGTCGTCGGGATGGGTGGAATCGGCAAAACCTTTCTCGCCAAGAAATTGTTAGAAAAGCTGAAGAGGAAGATTGGCAGTCACGTGTTTATCGAGTCCGTGCGTGAAACTTCGAAGGCACATGGATTCGATAAGCTGAAACTGCAAAAGACACTCGTGGATGGTTTGCTCCCGAATGAAGATATAATTTGTGATAATGAGAATCCACTCGAGGTTTGGAAGGATCATCTTCTTAAGAAGAAAGTTGCGGTTGTTCTTGATGACGTGCATGGCAAGGAACAAGTAAATGCGCTTCTAGGGAATTGTGATTGGATTAAGAAGGGGAGCAGGATCATCATCACTACCCGCGACAAGTCATTGCTCAAAGGGGTGGAAATGGTCAGCGATATCTATGAAGTCCCCGGGTTTAATGACAGTGATAGCTTAGAGCTCTTTAGCACTTACGCCTTTGATGATAAATCATGTAAGTTCATGGAGTTGTCTAGAAAGTTTGTGGATTACACTGGAGGAAATCCATTAGCACTCAAGGCATTGGGAGAGGAACTTCTTGGGAAAGACAAGGGTCATTGGGAAGCAAGACTTGTAACACTTACACAACGTTCCAACGAGAAGATCAGAAAGGAGTTGATACTCAGCTATGATGAACTGAATGAGCATCAGAAGGATGTTTTTCTCGATATCGCATGTTTCTTTAGATCACAAGATGAGAACTACATTAAAACTTTACTTCACTGCAGTTTTGACGCTGAATCTGGAGAAGCCGGGAAGGAAGTTAGAGAACTCAGTGACAAGTTCTTGATTCGTATCTCTGAAGATAGAGTAGAGATGAATGATCTAATCTATACATTGGGAAGAGAACTTGCAATATCATGTGTTGAAACTATAGCAGGGAAATATAGGTTGTTGCCGTCGAATCGTGAAGAGTTTATTAATGCACTGAAGAACAAAGAGGTGAGATATTTTGGAATTAAAGTTTGGAACTTTATATCTTTGCAACCACCAATTAATTGTAGTTTCACATGTATCAATTTTACTAACTCGTAGTCCTTACTTGATCGACAGGAAAGAGACAAGATAAGAGGTATTTTCCTAGACATGTCTAAAATGGAGGAAATACCCTTAGACTACAAAGCGTTTGTTGGTATGAGCAATCTGCGGTACCTAAAAGTCTACAATTCTCATTGTCCTCGACAATGCGAAGCTGACAGTAAATTAAACCTACCCGATGGTCTTGAGTTCCCTATATGTAATGTTCGATATTTCCACTGGCTGAAATTTCCAGTGGAGGAACTTCCTTGTGACTTGGACCCCAAGAATCTTATCGATCTTAAGTTGCATTACAGCCAGATTAGACAAGTCTGGACTAGTGATAAGGTGTGTATCTTTTTTTCCCACTTATCAAGTCACAGTTTACTAGATGACTATCTTACATAATTTTTTTATTGGTCATCACAGGCTACACCAAGACTGAAGTGGGTTGATCTCAGTCATTCGAGTAAGTTGAGTTCCTTGTTGGGTTTATCAAAAGCACCAAATCTTTTGAGATTAAACCTCGAAGGCTGCACGAGTTTGGAGGAGTTATCCGGAGAGATATTACAAAACATGAAGAATCTCATTCTCTTGAATCTAAGAGGATGCACAGGTCTTGTGTCTCTGCCAAAGATCAGTCTATGTTCCTTGAAGATTCTCATCCTCAGTGGCTGCTCGAAGTTTCAGAAGTTTCAGGTGATTTCAGAAAATCTAGAAACTTTATACTTAAATGGCACTGCAATAGATAGGCTTCCTCCATCAGTTGGTAATCTCCAGAGACTTATCTTATTGGATTTGAAAGACTGCAAAAATCTAGAGACTCTTTCTGATTGTACAAATCTTGGGAATATGAGATCTCTTCAAGAACTCAAACTTTCTGGTTGTTCAAAGCTCAAGAGTTTTCCCAAGAACATAGAAAACTTGCGGAATTTGCTACTCGAAGGAACAGCAATAACAAAGATGCCACAAAATATTAACGGTATGTCTTTACTGCGACGTTTATGCTTAAGCAGGAGTGACGAAATCTACACCCTGCAGTTTAACACCAACGAACTGTACCATTTGAAATGGCTCGAGTTAATGTATTGTAAGAATCTCACATCTCTTTTGGGGCTTCCACCAAATCTTCAATTCTTATATGCTCATGGTTGTACCTCACTGAAAACTGTGTCAAGTCCACTAGCCTTGCTTATCTCAACGGAGCAGATTCATTCTACGTTTATTTTCACCAACTGCCATGAACTGGAACAAGTCTCAAAGAATGATATCATGTCTAGCATACAGAATACAAGACATCCGACATCATATGATCAATATAATCGGGTATTCATATTCTTCTCACACACTCTCACTCGCTCTCGCTCTCTGTGATCTACCCTCAAACATCAACATCTTATTATTTTCTTCCTGCGTCATTTTACTTTCAGGGTTTTGTAGTTAAATCCTTGATCAGTACTTGCTTTCCTGGAAGTGATGTACCTCAATGGTTCAAGCACCAAGCATTTGGATCAGTTCTAAAGCAGGAGCTGCCTCGGCATTGGTATGAAGGCAGAGTAAATGGGTTAGCTCTTTGTGTTGCTGTCTCGTTTAATAACTACAAAGACCAAAACAACGGTCTTCAAGTGAAATGCACCTTTGAGTTCACTGATCATGCCAATGTATCCTTGAGTCAGATAAGTTTCTTCGTCGGAGGCTGGACCAAGATTCCAGAAGATGAACTAAGCAAAATTGATTCGGACCATGTCTTCATCGGCTACAACAACTGGTTCTATATAAAATGTGAAGAAGATAGGCATAAGAATGGATGTGTTCCTACTAATGTTTCCCTTAGATTTGAAGTCACAGATGGTGCAAGCAAGGTTAAAGAATGCAAGGTTATGAAGTGTGGCTTTTCTTTGATTTATGAGTCAGAGGGAAGTGAGAAGGTTTCTCGGGACGCAACATTTGATGCAAACTCGAAGATAGAGGAAAGTAAACTAAGTGAAACAAAATCTTACAAAACTGCAGAATATGATGCTGATTTCTATGGTGAAGGGGCACAAGGGTTGGAGACTTTTGATAAGTTGACTCTACTCAACCCCTTAATTAGCGAGGTGCATTAAATTTTTTTCTTTTTTTTTTTTGAAAAAATGGGCTTGAATCCAAATGCATTGTGATGATATGGGTTATAGGGAATGAGTTAGCTACAGGTTAACCATCATTCATATATAAACTAGAGGGAAAATTGCATGATACGATGATAATGTTTTTCTTCTTCTACCAAGTTTTTTATGTGAATAAGCATCTAAACTAGCTTAAAAAACAGTATAATGGACTTATTTTTAGTGTTAAGTATACATTTTAGCATGCAGATAACGAATCTTAGGTATCATAGAAATTATGTCCTCCTTTGATTTAGGACTTCATTCAAAACCATTTTGATTTTTGGGAACTTGCCTTCGGTCTCCATCCTTCTCTCTCGAGTCTCGGTAGTTGTTAAATTCGGTTGTTACGGCTCTTTAACTTTACCAACACTTATATCATACTCCCTCCGTTTCAGTTTAGTTGTCGTTTTAGGATTTAAATTTTGTTTCATAATAGTTGTCGTTTTAGGTTTTTAATGCAAATGTTTGGTGAAAATTCCAGTTTTATCCCTATTGTTTTAATGTTTTGGCCAATGAAATTTTTTATAAAATATACTAATAAAGGGTAAAACAGAAAATTTAATGTTTTTCTTAATTTGTGTGAAAAAACCTTAAACGACAACTAAAACGAAACGGAGGGAGTATTAGTTATGTTCTAGATGCCATGTTATATTGTTCTTTATGTTTTTTCATTCTCGAGCTTTTAAGTAGAAGAAATTTTAACCCTTAAAAAAAAAAAAAAAGCTTCCCGGCTAAATTATTTGTTTAATCTCTAGTCTGTTATGTTATTTGATGAGAAATCATTATTATGATCACTGAGAATTTTAGCTATTAATGGATTTTTGTTTAGCAAGTAACAGTACCTTGTCATCCACGGAAACAAAACAGAGCCAGAGAAAAACAGAGTGATATTCACAATCCAAATGAACTAAAACCAACCCAGCCGTATTATCTTCCTATACTTCCCTTTTCTTATAGCATAGATAAAAAAAATATTGAACATCATTTTCTTCTACTTTCTGTCCAATGTCAAATAACAAGACTCTCATCAGAGTTTCAAGCTCTAATTAGGGTAATTTCGCAACGACTGTCTCTGTTTAGATTACAATCCCCTACTTCTTTTAAGACATCTCTGGGAGGAAACCTGAAAGTTTTAACATATCAAATCTTTTTTTTGTTCTTATGAAAAGCTCTCGGTGTTATCCTCAAGTTCCAGCTCTACTAACGTGGAGAACACCAATGATTCAAATTTTGTTTCTCTTAACCCGCCTTCTGGATCAAGTTTTTTTATTTCCTCTAGAATCTCTTTACGTTTGAGTCTCGTGCAACCAGAAAGATTCAGAAGTTGAAGATTCTCTAGCTGATCAATGTGTGGGATGCTCTCCAAGCTTGTGCAACCTTGAAGATGGATTTGCTCAAGACTACAAGCTTTCAAAAGTACATCAACTTCAACTAGTTGCTGAGAATGGCTAAGATTTATTATCTTCAACTTCACCAAACTCTGTAAAACATAACAAACACACATAAAATGTACAGCTGAATTATGGTAACAACAAAAAACAACTGCGGTTCTTGGATTTAACCCAACCTTGGTTCCTTCCCAGAGATTCTGAAGATGACTATAAGGCATATTGAGTTCAACAAGGTGTCTAGGATCAAAGTCTTCAGGAAACGATCGCAACGGATACTTTTCCCAATGAAGTAGCCTGAGCTCATAAGGCAAAGAGCGGAGTCCCTTGGGAAGATGGAATTCTTGAGTACTTTCAGAGTTTGAACTGTAGATCTTCAATAGTCTAAGATTATACATATTCTCAAAGGCCTTAGGATTAACATCAACGGTTAATTTTGTTGTGTCTAGAAAAATTCCTTCAATAACTTCAGTCCCCTGAAATGAGAAAAAAAAAACACACAGACACACATAAGAGGATCAGATTGATAGAAAGGTCTATGCAAACAGATTTAGACCAAACCTAATCATTTAGAGCAAGGAAAAAAATGGAACTAAACCGAAACGAAGTTTCCAATGCCCATACCTAATTTTTGCCCTCCCCTACTTGTTAATAGTGGAAATATCAGAATGTGACCAGTATAGCTATAGTACCTTAGGTTTATTTTCTTCTAGAAATGATTTAATGATTGAAGGATCCCACAATCTGCGATGCCTTGTGATTTGATTTTTTTCTTCATTGACGATATTCCGAGCAATATCCTGAATCAAAATTTGCATCTCAACATTGTTGTTCTTTGATATCATCAATAAAGACCGTTCTACAAGACGGTCAATACCAACGTGTGGGAAGAAACCACACCCTTCAAGTATACGCATGACATAATCGAGGTTTTCACCGTTAAAGAAAAAAGCAATGTCTAAGAATATGCTCCTCTCATTTTCGCTGAGCTCATCATAGCTGCTCTTAAACACATGCATAATCTCCCGCGGAGGAGATTGCTTAATCTTCTCGAATTCCGCCACCACTTCTTCCGGTTTCTTCTTCCCCAGCTCTCTGCCATAGTGACAGAGAGCTAAAGGATTTCCATCAGCATACTCAACGACCTTCTTTGACACTTCTATAAGATTAGTATCACTTGGTTCTTTTTCTGAAAATGCAAACCGGGTGAATAACCGTTGAGCCTCCTTCTTGTTTAAAGCCGGTATCTCGTAAACACTATCAACCTGACACTGATGAAGAACTTGTTTATCTCGGGATGATATGATCATTAAACTTTCGGGACCAAAACAATGATCAAATCCTCCTAGGAAAGACTCAGCATCCATTGGATTGCGCACATCATCAAGAACAACAAGAACTCTTTTCTCTCTAAGTTTGTCGATCAAATATTCTTCCCGCAATACGTATAATCCCTTATCATTAAACGCTACGTGGAAGTCTTGGATGAAGCACTGAGTTTCAAAGTGCTTAGTCATTTGGTTAAAGGATTCTTGAGAAATGGCTGTCTTGCCAATGCCAGGCATACCCCAAATCCCTAATCGGTATATGTCATGAGATTGCTTGAAAAGCAAGTTTTCTATCCCAAGCAACCTCGAGTAGAACCCGATCATACCTGTTGGACACAACCTCTCCCGCACATCCGCAACGATATCTTCTACTAACTCCGAGTCACTGCAAGTTGTAAACATGATTTATCTTTTGATAGTAACTTTTCCTTCTCTCCAAATATCATTCATCAAGTAACCGTGTATATTAATAGTACATATCCAAAAAAAATGTAACCATGTATGAATACATAGGATGGGAGATATGACTAAAGTATTTCCGTTGATAGTAACGGTTTTACAATACAAAAATCATCACTTTTCAATATTAGCATATTACACTTGTGACTTGTCTATGATGAAACTATAATAACTGAGTAACTGACGGCTGTGTTCTGACTGAAATTGGCTGAAAATGTAAAATATTTTATAGCACATTCCTATATTTATCAATCCTAATAGATTTGAAGTCACTAGTTGTTTTAACAAACAAAAATGGTCATCACAAAGAAAATATTCAAGAAAACTAAAAAACTCAAATCTCCGTAAATTAAATAATATCTTATTAATTAGTTTTTAACTATGTTGCATGGAAACTCTCTTCGAGGTCCGTTTCCCGTTTCTGAAACGTTTCGGAAACGGAAACTCTTCGGAAACACGAAAAACGTCACGGAAACACGTTTCCTAAAAATCTATGTCTGGAAACACGATGGAAACTCACGTTTCCAAAATGGAAACGCGACAAATTCTTTTTATTGACTTTGGAAACTTAATAAATAAAAGTTAAAAATATTAAGATTTATAATACATATAACTAATTTTGGAAGACTCTGAGTTTTAAGATCTTTCTATCGACAAACTAGATTTGGAGGCATCTTTATATGATCTATGATGAAACTAATAAAAATGAAAATGAAAATATTGGTCTAAATTAAATATTTGAACTTGAATCTTTTAATCTTTATCTTTTAAAATTTTAGTTAACCTATTTAATATTGATGTTTGGGACTTGTATTGTTTAATTAAACCATTTTTTATAGTTTTATGTTAATGTTATATATATACATATATTATATATATGTATGTGTATACGTTTCCAAAACGTTTCCAATCCCTAATTTTAGAAAAAAATCATTTCCCGTTTCCGAAACGTTTCGCTTCCACGTTTCCGTTTCCGTTTCCATGCAACATATGTTTTTAATCATTATATTTTAACTCTCAGTTTTGTTTGATACTATTTTTGTAAAAAAAAAAATCTTCATGTCTTTGTGATGACATTAAGAGTTACTTTAAACAGTAAATAAAGAGTTGACACACAAACGGTAACAAAAATAATGTAAAAACTTACTTTTGTTGTTCAATTGATTCATGGCCATGTAATTTGGCCGCTTCTGTCAGACCCTTTCTCCATCTTTCTACTCGGTCTTTCTCATCGGAGAAAAAACCACGGTGCTTGGAAAAATCCTCTTTGAATCTTTCTGTCTGTTGCTCAACGATCGATCGAGTAACGTCACCATAAAAAACCGGAATCACCACCGGGCCGTCTTTACGCCGTTGGAGATCCATAAACGTCATGAGTGTTTCCAAGCAGAGAGGCGAGGACGCGTAGTTCTTGGAGAAAACCACCACATATATTTTAGATCTCTCAATCGCCAACTGAATTTCGTTGGCTAACTCGAAACCGGGCTTCAGTGTTGCCTCGGAGAGGGTGCAGTGCTCTGCAAGGAACACCGAGATACCTCTCCGCCCGAAAGCGGCGTGGAGGTGGCTGACGAAGGAGTGGCGTGTATCCTTAGAACTGTAATCGATGAATACATCATACCCAACCGTTCTTGAAGTCTCCATTGATTTTTTTTTTTCTTTTCTTGAGGGTCCTCAAATCGTTTCTTACTCTAGAATTTCAATTGCTTTTTCTCTCTCTCTTTTTGTCTCTCTCTTTGCTGCATTTTCTCGAAGACTATCACCTAAAAACATTTCTTAATTATTTTCACATTTTTAATCGTCAATATGAATGCATTATGTTAGAAAAATAACATGGTGTTGTCTAAACGAATTAAATATAGATAGAGTCAAGATCACGATAAAAACCTAATGTTTTCTTTTTTTAAAATATTTGTGGCCTTCTATGAAAAGTTTTTGTATTATCCAGCAAATATTTATCATAAATATAGTGATACAGCTTGACGAACGATTAAATATTTCGAATATGTTGTCACCATCTTCACATCTACACTGTAGGATCATTAAAAATCGTCAACATTTTACCGAGTATAGTTAGCTCAGCTGGTAAAGATCCTAACAGCATCTCCAATGCCCATTTCTATATTTTTCTCTATTTTAGAGAAACTCTATTTTAGAAGAGATTTTGCTCCAATGTAACTCTCTAAAATAGAGTTTCCTCTAAAATAGAAGAGAGAGACAATTGATTATTATTAATATACCACCGTTTATCTATCTAATATTATAAAAATTAAACACCTTCAATATCATCAATACATTAAAATTGGTTAATCATCGTTTTGTCCCGCACATAGTGCTAGTTGTTATATAGTTTTATTATTATTGAATATACCTTAGACACTTTAGTTGTTGGATCTATATAAGGATTGAACCCTACTTATGACTTTTATGAAACGTAAATTTTGTTTGTTGTGGTTTATCCTTAATGCGAGAGACACGTTATTTTTTGGTCTCATCTATCAGAATATTGGTGTTCAAAAATATTTAAGAAAAAATCCTATAGAAAATATATAGCTCTGTAATATTCGAAATACCATAATTTTCACTTAGGGAAACCAACCTCCTAAAACTGCTGGAAAAAGGTTTAACCACTACCTTAACCTCACGTCCACCTAATTGATCAAGATCGTAAAATCTATCATAGGATCTTCACATCATCGACAAAAAAAATAGTAGACTTCACATCTCAACATGATCTCTCTTTAATTTATCTTCACTCATTTCATTTTGTCAATTTGGTAGCTTATTATAAACTAATTGGTAACGTTTAAACTAAAACAGTAATTTAGATGTGGGAAAAACTGAAATCAGTTAATTACGTAACATGCCTATAATTAATTTACAGTAGCAAATGAAAGTCGCGGCCGATAGTCATTTACTCATTTTATTTTATTTTTCTCGACATCGATCTTATCATAGTAATATTTTATTTTTCTGGTCATCGATCTGTTCATTTTATTTTTTATTTTTCTGGTCATAGATCTGGTCATTTAAAAAAAAAAAATCATTTGGTCATTATATTTTATTATTCTCTTCATCGATCTAGTCATTTTATTTTATGTTCCTGGTCATAAATCTGGTCAATTTTTTTTTGTCATGATCTGGTCATATTATATTTTATATTTTCTGGTCATTGATCTGGTCATTATATTTTATTTTTCGTAATCGATCTGGTCAATGTATAATGTATAGTCAACAATGGGTGTCCCTTATATGAAATAGTTTTTTTTTAATAAGGTTTTATATTTACTAAGTGATATTTGGTATTATGCACTAGAATCATAATTTTATAAAAAGAAAATCAGGAATTGATATTACAGGTTTTGATATTTTAGTATGGAATGATCCATGGTTGCCAGACTAATATCCTAAGGCAGGGAGAAGGAGGAGAATGATAAAACATCCCAGTGGCATATTGTGATAATGCTTCACAAGTTTATGGATCTAGAGAGTGTCTTACTTATTCAAGGGCTCGCATAAACAAGACTTTTAAAGAGGATATTCTGGCTAGATCTAGTATATATTATGGAAATCTGGATATCAAGTGATTGAAGCGAATTAGATCAGCACAGATTAATTTAGTTAGCGAACCTTCAGTAATATAATATATCTAAAAGCTCAAGAATAAAAAATTAAGATTAAAGAATAAAAAAAATTCGATGTCCACAGTCGAGTTTTTAGTAGAAATATACAGTATGAATCAAAATGTCATATGTTCTTGAAGATTGGCCTACATTCTCCAAACTTTTGCAATTTTCGTCAGCTACAAGATTACCTTTCTTATTATTTTCTTTTTTGTAATTCATGATTTCATTCCCATCCATTGAATTTTAGATCTGATTGTTTATCCATTATTTAACCTAAACCTTCTTTATCGACGAACTACCTTTTCATTTACAAGTTTGGCTAAAAAGAAAATACATAGATCTATATTTTTGTTCTTTTCATAACCATTTTTGAAATAAAAATCTCATGTATAAGAGTTAAAAATTATAATCTAAAAAAAGATTCAAAGGCAAATAAAAATATAATACTGAGCCGGCCCTATCCATGTTAGGTAATTTATGATAAAGTAGAATACAAATTCAACCTAACGCATTCTTGAATATATATTTCACCTAGATTATAATATTTTCTACTGTAAGAGTTATATATAGTTTATTCTTAGCATATGTATGTCTTCCACCTCTCATAATCTATAATATATATAACGTTATTAACATTTGTATACATGTAAACGCTTACATAAAGCGTCATTAACATATATATACATGTAAATATGTATATAAAATATTATATATTTATACATGTAAACACGTATATAGAACGTTATTAACATTTGTCTATTTGTATATACGCTACAAGCATATATTACAATCATTCTATACCAAACAGTCAAACAGAACAAGTGAGCAGTGCATCACAATGGGACACCGAAATATCATTAGAATCATAAGTTTCATCGGATTTTCGATGAATTTTCACCGTAACTTAGGTAGATTCATCATAACATTATCATCAATCATGTTAAGTTTAAAGTATTGGTTGACTCTGTCTCTAGCAAATCCTTATTTGTTTGCAAATAACTGAAAAGACAGATCCAAATTATGTGAAAAGTAAATATATTATTTTATCGGATATTCAATCTACTCTACAAAATATATAATGTGCAAATATGTATCTACAAAGTATTCTCGACATCTATAATGTATTAATTATATTGATGTGTATGTCTTATGTATTGATTCCAAAGCGAGAAGTGCACGAGGTTTTGCAAAACAATAAATTAAATATTAATATTGGGTTTGATTGGTAACATAGAGATGTACACAATTTTTAGCTGGAACGGTAAATTTTGACGGAATAGTATAAAATTGTAAGAAAAAGAATAGTACATAAAAGTTGTAAAAAAAAAACTAGGAATAATGCTTTTGATAACGCCTTTGTGATTTATAACTGTCAAAACGATACATCCTATACCATAACGGTATATAATTACCAATCAAAACCATTATTTAAGCTTTGCAATTATTTACTAAAAAACTAAGTTAGTTCTGATCTATTGTTTTTTCAACCAATTATCTCTATAGAAAGATACTCTCTTCTTGGGAGACAGCAGATCAGAACGAACTTAGTTTTTTACTCTCTTCTTGGGAGACGTCTTTGTAGTTAAATCCTAACATTTTACTTAAGGCGATAGATATGTTTCTCCAATGCTTTAATTTTCGCATATTAAGTGTTCTCAAGTCTCCTCGTAGATAGCAATTAAAATAGTAAAAAACAAAACATGCACATGGGAAGAAGTTTCTCCGATAGGCACCAAATGGTCTTTTTTTTTCTTTTGTTCTCAAGTCTCCTCGTAGATAGCAATTAAAATAGTAAAAAACAAAACATGCACATGGGAAGAAGTTTCTCCGATAGGCACCAAATGGTCTTTTTTTTTCTTTTGTTCTCAAGTCTCCTCGTAGATAGCAATTAAAATAGTAAAAAACAAAACATGCACATGGGAAGAAGTTTCTCCGATAGGCACCAAATGGTCTTTTTTTTTCTTTTGTGTCACCTAAACAACCACCTCTATAATTATTTTAAGTTTAAAAGGATAAATCTAAACTATGTTCAAAGATCTATATTTTACAAAAGAAGAGAAAATAGCATAGCTTTCTCATATATTTAGAAGATATTATTAGCTTTCACTTAATAAAAATGTTTACGTTAACAATCTTTTTAATAAAGATTTAAACACACAATTAGATAAGGAAAAGTAATGCATTTAGCTACGTTTCTTATTATCTGGAAACCATAGGTCCAAGACCAAGAGCTTAGGTATACAAAAAAAAAAAAAAAAAAATTCAAGTAAACAAACGGAGTCATATAAGTCAATGACACAATGCACTAACGAATTTCTTCATCATAGTAATAAAATATAAGTTCTTTTGGATAAATAAAATATAAGATAATCAAATTCATTACCAATTGATGTTTGTAATAACCGACGCAGGTATTCAAGTTAGACCATCTCCAATGGTGAGAGTTTATGGGAGGCTCTCACTATTTTTTTATGTATAAATTTTTTTGAAATCATTAGATGAGAGCTTATGTTTTCTCCAATGGTGAGAGCTCATGGGAGGCTCTCTTATTCTTCACACGAGCATAGCTATACACATAACAACACTTGCATCTACAAAAAGTTGTGGTTCTGAAGCAAAATAAATACAAGTAACACAATGACATAAGCAATACGACATTTAAATGAAGAACAGAACACAAAAGAGTTAACAAGAAGTTGTCATCTTCTGTTACTTGTCTTCTTCTTTTACTTGTACTTGCGATCTTCTTTTACTTGTCACCTGCAAATGACAGAAGCAAACAATTTTAGAATGAAGAACGACAAAAAAAAATCATTGAAGCAGAAAACAGTAAACAGTTTCATATGATGCCTTAAACAATTCATCCAAAAGGAAAAATTGTAATGCATAAATTAATTCATTGATGTATAAACTGCGCCTGGAACATGTTAAATATATGTGCTTATAATTTGCTATAATCCTGATTCAAGAACCACAACCACCACACCATAACTCAGTATTTCCACTAGCAACAGAATCAACAACGGAAAAACTGAACACACCCATTGTACATAAACTCTGAAGCACCATAAACAATCCAACACTTATCAACAGCCTTATCTAACCAAGCTAACAAAAACGAATAACAATAGTGGGTATATGACAAACCGTATCAACAAGTTTCATGGATACTTATCAACAGCCTTATCTTTCAAGTGCATCAATCAAACTGTATCAACAATTTCAAGACTTTCTGCAAAGCAATCAATGATACGGAAAAGAATGAAATCATTACCATAGACACATATAGAGATAATGGATTTGCAGCGGTTTGATTTTCTAACACTGATACCTTCTAGCAACAATTTTCTATCGGAGGGAGAACCCTAATTGACCAACATCAAACTACAAGATTTAATCTAGAAAAATTGTGGAAAAGGATTAGATTCATACCATTAAAAACAAACAAGAGCTTTCTTCATCGATTACTCTCAGACTCGAGAGAGATGCATCTCCGATTTGCTTTAATCTCCCATCGCCGATCGTGACAAGTGGCTCTGGAGATGAAGAATCCGGCCGAACGAATGTTCATTCACCATAATTCACCCTTAATTCTACCCTCAATCGCCATAATCGTCAGAGCAAAACTCATTTTCTCCATCGCCATTGCTCTCGGCTAAAGAGAGAGATAGTCGGGAGAAAAATGAGAAAAGGAGAGAGAGTTTTTTTGTATTATGTTAAAAATTGTTAACCAATTAAACCGTGACACGTAGTCGGCTCTCTTCACTTCTCAAATCTCTCTTAAGAGAAACGGCTGTTCCCATATTTAAGCTTATTTATTTACTTTTTGCTATTTTAAATCAGAGAAACCCTCAAGAGAACTTCCATATTCCACCGTTGGAGATGCCCTTAGCATGTGTTCACATTAATTTTGTTAAAAATACAATTAAAATTTTGCAACCATTAATTATGGTTATATACTCCCTTTTTTTTTTATATCTTTGGATCGACAAAACCCGATCCATAGTCAATCCCTACTACGCGGGGTAACGCGACTTACTGGAGTCGAACTCCGGTGGAGAAAACGGAGTCAAATCGACTTAACCACTTGACTAAAGGCACATCCCCAATTATATACTCCCTTATAGACCGAAAAAGAAAAGAAAAAACAAAGCCTTCCCACTCTATACATTTTCGGCAAACGTTCTATGGTAAAACAATCCTTCGACCAAAAAAATCTCTGATGTCGAAGGTAAGTTCCTCAAATTTAGTCCACGATCCGCCACCGCAACATCAAGTGTTCATAAATTTTCGGGGAACGGAGCTCCGAAACAACTTCATAAGTCATCTGGAGAAGGCCTTGTTAAATAAAAAAGTCAACGTGTTCATAGACATTCGCGAGAGGATTGGGAAAGATAAGGATATCTTTTTCCAGAGGATAAGGGAGTCGAGGATCACGATTGCGGTCATTTCAAGCAAATACACGGAGTCAAAATGGTGCTTGAACGAGCTTGCAGAGATCCAGAAGTGTGTGTTGGCGGAGACCATGGAAGTGTTTCCAGTGTTCTACAAGGTAGATGTTGGGACGGTAGAGAAACAGACTGGAGAGTTTGGTGAAAATTTCAAGAAATTACTAGAACAACATCATAGCGAAAGGGAAAAATGGGAAAGAGCACTTAAGTTTGTGACCAGTAAGCTAGGCGTGAGAGTGGATGAAAAGAGGTAAATATGAAAATATCTTATTTTAATTTGTTTTGGTTTTAACTTTTAATCCTGAAAATATCTTTTGTGGATTGAATCTCTTTTAATTAATGATGAAAATATAGAAAACTTGTATGAATCAAGCCTTCAAGTTTGGTTTGCCTCCAGGGACTAAGAAATTTATGTGTATATTCAGCTATAAAATTTTCAGCAAACTTTGCATCTGATGTACCAAACTGATATTTTTTTCTTGAATTTAATTTAACATTTTATTCAAAAAAATATATATATATAGAAAACTGGGTACTTTTGTGTGTAAAACAATCAAACGTATAACAGTTTATTAATATTGAGTTACAAAACACGTCTACTTAAATCTAGTTGAAATCCTTAAGGTAGTGAACGAATGTATTATATATAGTCATATCGTTTATTAATTAAAAAAAAATACTCCCTGTGTATCATTTTAAAAAATGTTGAAGGTTTTACACATAAATTAAGAAAACACATGATTTACTTTTAATTTTCCCTTTTTACATAAAAACATTATTAAATAAAATGAGTTCAACCAACTAATTTTTGCATAAAAAGTTGAAAACATCACTTAAAATGAAAAAAAAAAAAAAATTTAAACATCAAATAAAATAATATAGAGGACTAAGGACATGACCCATTATGAATGTTTTCGGCGGGCTGAGTATCCCCCATATTATAGCATCGGTGCAACCAAAGTCAATCAAAACATCATTATTGGTGGTCGCTTAGCTTGTTCTTAGACTTAAGTTTGATTAAAATTAAATGAATAATTACTTTAAATCTTAAGAGCCAGCTCTTATATAAGAGCTAAATAACCAGTTCTTAGCATTAATTTTTAGTATTTCTTTATCTTTTTCTTTTTGAGAACCCGAAAAATTCGACTCAAATCCGAACCCGAAAATTTAGATTTACCTTATTGAGTCCTAAACTCATATACCCAAAAATCCGAATCCGAATATACCCGAATGTTTTATTCGAAAACCTGAGATTTTACTCAAAATTTTAAATTTTAACCGAAATCCGAATATTTACCCAGAAAATCAGGTATTTACCCGAAAACCTGGATATTAACCCGAAAACCCTATAATTTACCTGGACATTTATATAGCGGGTATTTAGCGGTTCCACAAATCTATACCCGAACCGATCCGAATCCGAAAGGAAATCGAATCGATTTTTTTATTTATCCTATTGGATCTTGAACTCTTCTACCCGAAAGACCCGTAACCAATTTTCATTTGCAACAATTATTAAGTTTTCTAAAATTAAAATTATTAATTTAATTTTATTTTAAATTAATATTTTTTTTCTAAGAACCTCAAGTTAAGAACATACCATTGGAGACACAAAAAAATTTAAAACCAATAAACAATCTCTTAACTCTAAACTTTATAAATTTAATATTAAACTAATGCTAAGAGCCAATATTAGCATACCACAAATAATGTTGCTGTTAGTGGACAACAATTATGGCAGCAATAGCAACACATGATTTTCTAGCTTCTATCCTCAACTGAAAAAAACAACTATTGTAGTCCAATCCTTATTTCGCAGCTAGTAGCATGCAACACGCACCATATTAGCCCTACAACTTGAGAAGTTAGACATGAGTAGCGAGAAATTCCAACTCTCCAATGGGTCTTACTATAAAACCTCCACCTCTGTCCGAAAGCAGAGGACGTTGAGAGACTGGATAACTCAAAAGGAATACCACAAAAAAAATTAGCCACCACAAAACAATAGGTCGGATTGCATTTTCAAGAATGAGTAATTAATAGGATATTCTCTCTTCCAATGAGATCCTTCTGGGTGAGGGATCGAAAAGTTCTCTGTTAACCCGCACTATATTCTTTTTTTTTCCACTACAAGAAATATCAACATTATTAGGACGATATAAGTGCTATAATACATCATTCATAACGTTTTAATAAAGGCTATTTCCACTGCAGTTATTATAGACCCCCACATACGATAGCATTTTCGGCATGCTATGGTTAATTCCCACATACAATAGCATTTTCATATTATTGTGCTAATCAAATGCTATAATATACTTTATTGTAACTCACGTTTAATATTGTTTTATTATAATGTCGTAGATTTTTTTCGCTATATAATTTTAATTTGATTTATAAAATAAATTTTATATTGGAACTCAGTAAATTTTACAAAATTGGGTTCCAATATAAAATTTATTTTGGTGGGAAAACGAAAATACGTTTTTGGCGGGAAAACCGGAAATCATATTTTGACATTAAAACGTGATATTATGTTTTTGGTGGGAAAACGTGAAATAATGTTTTTGGCGGGAAAACGTGAAATTACGTTTTTGGCGGGAAAACGTGAAATTACGTTTTTGGCGGGAAAACGCGAAATTATATTTCTTATACTAATTACTAAAATGCCGCCTGGAGAAAATAAAAAACTACTTAAAGCCTTTAAATCATCATCTTCTTAAACTAGCTTCTTTATAACACATTTTGTCATCAGATAACACATTCCACAGGTATAAAGAAGCTAGTAGCGATGCTACATCTACAGATCTTTAAACATGGGAGTATGATTTCACCTCTATGAAAAAGACTGAGAAAAAATCAGTGAGCTTGTTCGCAAACTACATTGTTTCTACACTAAGAGATAGGACGAAGCTATCTAAGATTAATATATTAGAAAATATCATTTCCTATATATTTTTATTCTTTAACTATATAGAACCATTATAATAAGAAAATAGTGTTGATTTGTTTTTTCATTTTCTAAGTTTCCAATTAAAAAAAGAAAATTTTAAAGATTTCTATTAAATTTATCATTAAAATCTAATCTTTTTAACAACAATTCTGCTTTTAATATGATTTTCTATTTTTTTCAATACTATGTATACATGACATATCATTTCATATTTTAGTTTTGTCTAAATAGTTCTTGTTTTGACATGATTTTCTGACATATTTGATAGTTTTGAGTGCGATATCGTCGATCATGTCGTGAAAGACGTAATGAAAGCAATAAACGAAATACCGACGGATCAAGGAACAAAGAGTCCAAGAGGAGATATTATTGTATTGCCCGAGGGAAATATACGAGGAGAGCCTGAGAGTTCTTCTTCTTGGTCTTCAAAAGCGTCTCCTTTCTTTGGGATCGAAACACGCCTAGAGCAATTGAAAGAGAAGTTAGATTTTGAATCAAATGAGGTTACTCGTGTTGTTGGAGTTGTTGGGATGCCTGGTATAGGTAAAACAACTCTTGCCAAGAAAGTTTTGGAGGATTGGGGGTATGAGTTCTCGCATACAATGTTTCTAGATGATGTTCGTGAGAAGTCAAAGTATCCTGAGATCCATAACTTGCAGATGGAGCTCCTGTGTGGTTTAACGAATATAAAATACGAAAGAAAGGAACAAACAGAAACTGACCTCCTACTTAAATTTTTGAAAGTTGAGGTAAGCAAAAACAAAGTGTTGTTTGTTCTTGACGATGTGAGTGAGAAGAGTCAGATAGAAAATATTCTTGGTGAAAGCGAATGGTTAAAAGAAGGAAGCAAAGTTCTCATCACCACAAACAGCAAGTCCGTGGTCAAGGGAATGGTAAACGAGACTTATCTAGTCCCTGGCCTCAGCGACAACGATGCCCTAAATTATTTTGAAAGACATGCATTCTCTGTTTCTTGCGAGCCAAGTTTCATGAAGTTGGCAAGAGAGTTTGTGGAGTACTCTAGGGGTAATCCATTAGCCCTCAAAGTACTTGGCGGTGAACTTCTTGGGAAGCAAAAGTCGTACTGGGAATCGAAGCTTGGGACGCTTGCGAAAAGCCCGATCAGCAACACGATTCAAAATGTCTTGAGAATTCCGTATGATGATCTTAGCCTCCACCACAAGAATTTGTTCCTCGATGTGGCATGTTTCTTCAGGTTTGAAGATGAGTATCACGTGAGGAGTTTTCTGGATTCTTCGGTTCATGAGAATGTGAGCGAAATAAAAGATCTCGCGGATAAGTTCTTGATTAACATTTGTGGTGGTCGACTTGAGATAAATGACTTGATGTACACATTCGCAATGGGGCTAGAATCACAATCATCCTCTGAAGACTGTACGAGTGGGCGTAGGCTGTCCAACCATGGGGAGATCATCACTGTTCTCCGAAACAAAGTGGTGAGTGAGATTGATTTCTATTTACGTACATTTGAAGTTATTTCTAATTAACTAATTACATGTTAACTTGTTACACAACTTTACAGGAAGCGACCAAGGTTAGAGGAATTTTCCTTGACATGTCTGAAGTACCTAAGGAAATGAAATTAAGCAGTGACACATTCAAAGAAATGAATGATCTCAGATACTTGAAATTCTTCGACTCAAGTTGTCCTAAAGAATGTGAAGCTGACTGCAACCTGAACTTCCCCAATGGACTTAGGTTTACACTGGAAAAAATCAGATATCTCCATTGGCTGAAATTTCCGCTGAAGATCTTTCCACGAAGTTTTAACCCGAAAAATCTTATAGACCTCAAGCTGCCGTACAGCCAGCTAGAGCAAGTTTGGAAGGGAGAGAAGGTATATATATATATTCCATTATAATTTGATTAGATAGTTTTCTTTGCTATCTTTCAATTATTTATTTATTTATCGCGGCTACAGGATACGTCGAAACTAAAGTGGCTGGACTTGAATCATTCAAGTAAGCTGCGAACATTGTCGGGTTTATCGTTGGCTCGAAATCTTCAAAGTATGAACCTTGAAGGTTGCACGAAATTGGAGGCGGTTCACCACGAGCTAAAAAATATGGGAAGTCTATTATTTCTTAACCTGAGAGGATGCACGAGCCTAGAGTCTCTTCCAAAAATAAAGTTGAACTCTCTAAAAACACTCATCCTCAGCGGCTGCTCAAATGTTGACGAATTCAATTTGATTTCAGAGAAACTTGAAGAGTTATACTTGGATGGCACTGCGATAAAGGGACTTCCTTCAGATATTGGGAACCTCCAAAGACTAGTCTTGCTGAAATTGAAAGACTGCAAAAAGCTGTTGAGTCTCCCTGATACTATCAGAAATCTAAAAGCTCTTGAAAAACTAATACTCTCTGGTTGTTCAAGCCTTGTGAGTTTTCCAGAAGTTAAGCAGAACTTGAAGCATTTGAAGACTTTACTACTTGACGGGACCGCAATAAAAGATGTGCATGATGTTGTGCATCGTCTAAGTATTAATCAAGGGCAATTTTCTTCATTTACACACTACGATTTGTGTGAATGGCGGCATGGTATCAACGGATTATCATCAGTGCAACGTTTATGTCTGAGCAGAAACGATTTCACAAGCTTGCCAGAAAGCATCATGTATCTCTACAATCTCAAATGGCTTGACTTGAAGTATTGCAAGCAGCTCACATCTCTTCCAATGCTTCCACCAAATCTTCATTGGTTAGACGCAGACGGCTGCATTTCACTGAAAAATATCGAGAACTCATTGTCTCTACTATTGGCGGCAACAGAGCAGTTACACTCCACATTTATATTCAGTAATTGCAAAAAACTTGATCAAGTTGCGAAGAATGATATCGTGTCTTATGTTCGGAGGAAGATTCAGTTAATGTCAGATGCACTAGTCCACAAAAATAAGGTATTATCTCATCTCATTCACTCTTAGACTCTGAATGGTTACAGCGTATAGCAGAGTGCATTTTGAACCTTAGGGTAACATACTTTTCTTATAACATTGATTCTCTTTTGGTATTGAATTGGCAGGGTTCAATACTCGATGTGTTGATTAAAATCTGTTATCCTGGTTGGCAATTACCTGTATGGTTCGATCACCGGTCGGTTGGGTCAGAGTTGAAGCAAAATCTACCTCGACATTGGAATGAAGACGGGCTTACCGGTATAGCTCTCTGCGTTGTTGTCTCATTTAAGGACTACAAAGATCATAATACCCGCCTCTTAGTTAGATGCACCAGTGAGTTCAAAAAAGAAGACGCGCCTTTGATTCAGTTTAGTTGCATTCTTGGCGGCTGGACAAAACAAATTAGCGATAACCCCGGAGACATCGTGGAGCCTTCTGGTCACGTCTTTATCGGTTACACCAATTTGTTACACGTCATGAAACGGGACAGAGGAGCGAAATGTGTTGGTACGGAGGTTTCCTTTAAATTCGAAGTAACCGACGGGGCAAAACAGGTTACAAATTGTGAGGTTCTCAAGTGTGGCTTTACTCTTATCTACGCACCTACTACTAAACCTGTTCATAGCTTGTGTACTCAAGTATACTCTGACCATGGTGAGCAAATGTCTGGTTCAACGACCGCTATCAAAGGCACGGTTGAAGAAAGATATAACAAGCACGGAACTGGAGCACCCTCTGTTTCATTTGTGGCTCCGACGATGGAGAGCGAGATCACAAAGAAAGTACAGCATTTCGAAGCTACAAGTAACGTAGAAGACATCAAGAATGAAGCTAATTCTGCTGGAGGTCCATCAAGAAACAACGTTGATGCTAATTCAGAGAGTAGTGATCACAATAGTAATGGTGGATCCATGTCACCAGGGAGCTCAGGAGAAGGTGAAGTTTTTAATAATGAATCTCCAAAGAAAGAGGAGACCAATTCAACAAGTTCAGCATTACCTTTAGAAAATAATACTAATGAAAATGGCACAAACAACGTACGTGAGAGGTTGGAGAAACCTATACGGCTTATTTGTCTAGTGATCTCCATTTATCTTGGTGCTGCTTTTGTGCTGAGAAAGGATAACAAAAAGAGATCAAATCAATAAAATATGTCTGATTCCAATGGTATTCACCGGAGTTGTTTCCCGATCATTTTCTGATCAATGAGAGTTTCAATCGCTAAGTTTTGAAGTAGAACCAGTCTACATTTGTCCCGAGCGGAATGATCACCAAGTAAAAACCCTATTCGCAATCGCCTAGACTCGTACAACCGATCTGATGATGGTCATCAAGTCCCATCAACGTGAACCCTAAATCGATTTGGGGATCACTTATAAGGTACACAAACATTGTTTTGTGGAACCCTAAACCGAATAATATCGATTTTTAATTTTGTTTTTTTTGGCATCGTTTAATTTAGGTTTAATAATCAGTACGGTTCTGTTTTTTTTTTCCATTTAATAATTAATAATAAACTAGATTTTACCACTGCAGGGTCAATTTTTTTTTTTTTTTGGTCATCCGAAACTAAATAGAACTCAAAATAGTCATTCCTATAGAATGTTGTTTACATAAGTGATATGATGCGAGGCTGTACGAACTTTTCTTGCCAGATTATCCGCTTTTACGTTAGCACTATGAGAAATTAAAGATAGAGAGAAGGTGGAGAATTCTTCCTTGTCGTTATGAAATTCCTCCAAATACACTGAGAATGTCGGCCATTCGGTTGGAAAAGACACCATCTTCATCGGTCAGAACAGTCTGTAAAGAACGCTACCTCTTGATTATATGCATCAATCATACACTTCATTGCCCATGGTCGATTTTTTATAGAGCAATTGTCTCTTATACTCCCAAATCAGTTTTTGGGACAATAATAGCACTCAGAAGTTTATTGGACAAAAATAGCACTTTATTTTTTATTTTTTAAATTAATAAATATTTATAAATAAATACAAAAAATAAATGAGAGTTTCAATCGCTTGGTTTTAAAGTAGAACTAGTTTACATTTGTCCCGAGCGGAATGGTCACCAAGTAGAAAGCCTATTCGCAATCGCCTAGACTCGTACAACTGATCTGATGATGGTCAACAAGTCCCATTATCAACGTGACCCCTAAACCGATTTTGTGGAACCCTAAACCGAATAATATCAATTTTTAATTTTGTTTTTTTGGCATCGTTTAATTTAGGTTTAATAGTCTTTTTTTTGTTTGTTATTTTTTCTATTTAATAATTAATAGTCGGTTTTTTTTATAGATAAATTGTTTATTATACCCCAAATCAAGTTTTTGGAACAATAATAATACTCAAAAGTTTATTGGACAAAAATACCACTTTATTTTTTTTTAAATTAATACAAAAAATCACAAATTCATCGCTAATATTTTCCCGCCAAAATAATATCCGGTCAAAAATTTTCCGCAAAAAAAAAATCCAAAAAATTCAAAAAGAATTTCACGAATCGTTAATTCTAAGATTTAATCTAACATAAGTAGAATAAATTTTGGATATTCAATTGACAAGAATTACCCATCGAAGATCTGCCTTCTTGACAATCCTTGGCTAAGAACTCTATTCAAATATAAATATTCACATTTTGGGATTTGAGGCGAAACATAAAAAATCAGTAAAAGTTTATATCTGATTCAATAATAAGCTTATCTCTTTAAAGAATTCACAATTTGCAAAATACAGAACTGATCAAAAGACCTCTTGAACAAATAAGAACTCACGCAACCAACTGTGCTACAACAATTTCTGGTAATAATGTATAACGATAAATATATATCTCCGACAACGTCTCTGTCTTCTTCATCAACAACCTCGCCGTCTTCATCATCATCTCTCTCCTTAGCACTGTAATTAGATCCTCCTGCTCCTAAACCACGACCAAATCTTGAGAAGGGTAACACGACTTAGGAATTTCGCAATCGGATTTAGTTTTGCCCATTTTTTAGCATATTGGAGAAAAGATGGCAAAAATGGAGGAACGGAACGACGCCGGAGCCGGTGACTACGATAGCAGTTTGTTATGATTTGGTTTGGAGGTCCTAGGACCAATTCTTGCCTTACACATTTTTCCTCTTTTTATTTTATAGAAAAAATGTTCAAAACGACGTAGTTTCGATAGCATATATACATATTTATACGGTTTGCAAAATCTATACACGTTTAAGGGCTATATTGTGGGTGACTTTTAAATTCGTGATATTGACTTGTATTTATTTGAGTTTGAGGGTTAACTTGCAAAAAATAATTACTTAGAGGGTTTTTTTGAACAAAACCCTTTAAAATTGAGTCATTATTAACTTCCAATTCGGCCCAACAATTATTTGACTTGACTAATGGGCCAGTGACTTACGGTTTTGGTAAACCATGTTTTGAATTACCAAACAGTAATCTATATATATATATATATATATATAATGGGAGAGTTTTCTCTCCATATAGGGTATCCATATCAATATCTATGTCATCATAATTTATTTTTTGTGGGCTACACATATTTTATTTATTAAAACAAAAACATTAAAACAAAAACTAATTCACACATTAAATAAAAACAATAATTGAGCGTCAAGCTCAACGTTGCTCCTCCTTCTATAGAGTTTAAGGGTCTACTTAGCTTAAAGTAACTATTCCTATTCTAATCTACAGTAACTCGATTTACTTGAAGTTTCTCATTGCGACGGTTTGTTGTTGTGCACCATCAACGACAACAAGAGCTCGTGGTTTGGATTCCATGTTCGGGGAGAACCTGGTGGATCCAACACAAAACTGGTTACATGAGGTACTCTACGCTTGCTCTAGGTTACGTAAACGACAAATCTTACCATAGCTACAAAATCTTGAAGTGTTCGAGGCGGCGGCTCCAAATTTGTTAATACGTAGGTCTGAAATATATGAGTTTAGGCTGTCAAAAAGAGTTTAGTTATGGCTCATGCAAGGTTCTTGATGAAAGCGGCAATATCGACTATGAATTGCTTGGTAAAGGTGTGTCTTTGAAGGGAAATACTTACTGGTGTGCTCCGGATATAGCTAGAACACATAAGCGATAAATTGTTACTCAGTCTTGATTTTACAGCAAGAGAGATTTAGACGTATATGTGTATTCTGCAAATTCAAATGATGGTCACGTGGCTCTATCAGTTCTTAGAGAAGAAAAACTCTCACTGTTAAATATGATACTGAAGTTGCGTTGCAGTGGACCAAATCCTTTACAATGGATGCACCCATTGGCAGTAAGCTTCCTCCATATTTCGTCAGTTTTGTATTCGACGAGGAAAAAAAAGTGGTTGTGTTCTGATCAAATTCTTGAAAAAATGGTATACATTCTTAGAGAGGATGATAAATATATCAGAAAATTCCCTTACCCAGAATATGCAAAAGAATCATGGTGGCTGGATTAATCTTTCATAGTATTTGTAAACAAACCCTTTATTTTTATTTATGTTCCAAGTTTGGTTCAAATCCAGCAAGGTACAAGCTAGAGGCAAAAGAAAACTACGAAACAAGAGTCAGAAAAAAATAAGCAAGTGATTTCTTGTGGTTCCGCCTTTTTTTTTTTTTTTTACCGACGGTTACAATGAATTGATAAATTATATTACTTTGATTCCTTTCTTCTTTGCATTACATTCAACTTTTTTTTTTTTTTGGTTTTAACCGTTTGTTAAATTTTGTCAACTCTAAGACTGCAAGTCTTACGTATATTCCAAGTAACGCAACATCCTGATAGGTAATTTATGAGAGACAAATAACGTAATAAATAAGGAAACATGATTTGATCATAAAACTTAAAATGTCTCTATTAAAACAAGGAGCATTGGGCGGTTGAAAGATCTAATAATGCCAATAATGAACTTTGATACTATATAAAAGTCAATATTATAAGTTTGTGAGACTGTCCAAGTGGGATTTTAAACCACTATTTGCGATTAGCCATCTCAGTAATTAACATTTTTTCCATCTATTAATTAATATTTTTAAATTCTAATATTTTATATACTAAATATTAATTAAAAAAAAAGAAATAAGACAAATGTAAAGTATAGATTTCAATATTATCTTTGGTTATATTTTACCAGAATTCCTTTTTCTAATAAAATTTGATGCAATATTTTTCAAATTAAAAGGTCATATAAAAAACCCGATTAATATTTTTAAGAAATAAAAAGAATTTATCTTAAAAGTCTATATACAATATATCTATATATATATTATATTATAAAAGTTTAGTCTATAAACTTCTGAGACTGTCCACGTCGGATTTTAAACGACCAATCGCGTTTAGCCATCTCAATAATTAATATTTTTTTATTATGATAATCGTCTATGGCAAAATCATTGTAAAGAAGAAAGAAAATTGTAGACAACAAGATAAATTTTGAAATTATGGAAATAGTTCTAAATATAATCATGTGTTATTAAAAACATTATATAAAATGATCAAATTGTTAAGTTTTTATTTTGTTAAAGATTTTTAAATTTATAAAAAATATATATAAAATATTAAAAATTCTGAATATAATTTTTGTTATCAAAATACATAAAATAAAAATAATCAAAATTTTAATGTTATTTAAAATTTTTATTAATTTAAAAAACAAAAATATTTATAAAAAAATAATCGGTCATTATTAGTCTCACTAAATAAATTAGAAGCTATAAAACTACGTCGGTAAATTAATTATATTGTCAAATTTTAAATATAGTTTATGTGGCCAACTGTTACGATCGCTTTTTCTTGTGTGTGACTCATTCGACATTACATCCACACCTAATGGATCTAACTTTCCTCCATCCCAAATGATGTATTCCGTGGAGATCAACCTCTATGTTACTTGCAGGTCTATATAACCACTTAATATATTATGGTTTTATTTGTTAGATTGTTTGTCATATGAAACTGAAAGTAGTTTTTATTGTTTTGGTGAAAATAGTTTTTATATTAGGCTTCTAAAAGAGTCTGGCTAAGTTTGTGAATGGTAGATGTGCTAATTAGAACAGAGAATGAAACAAAGACATTGAATACTTGAAAAAAGATAGAAAGAGTTATAGCTCTCGAAAATAAATTGTAAAAACGGATATTCACATACATATTGAAAAGAATGTGAGAAAAAATGAGTTGTTAAAAAAAAAGGTATAGATAAGCTTATGAGTATACTTTTGTATACTCATAAGCTATCTATACCTAAGTTATATTAACTAATGCAGTGAAGATAGACAAAAAAAATAGTGAATTTGCGATACCAGAATGAAAAAGTCGTCGACGTTAGTCTCCGTAAAACAATTTATTTCGTGAGATTCAATCAAAATGTTGTACGTGAAAAAATATGATTATCCAAAATATCTAAAGCTAAAGAGAGAGCTATTAAACAAAAAATGATGTACTTTTAATAAATGTTGTAAAATCCTAAAAGTTGTATTAGAGTTTTTTTAAGTTGTATATTTTAATTGAACTATTTATCATGGTAATTTTAAAATTCAAGAATTTAAACTATTAACAATAAGTAGAAATATAAAAAAATATATTTATAATTTTTTAATAAATATCATTAGTCACACAAAAATTTATTAAAATTTCTAAAAATAAACCCACGCGTAGCGTGGGTTCAGAACCTAGTGAAATATACAAAAGGGCAAACATATTTTGTGATGGATTCATTTTTAAAAATACATATCTTTATGTTTCATATAGACAAAAAAAATATATATATTAATTTATATGAATATATGAATAATTTATATGAATAATTTAGTTGCCTTAACAAATATTTAATTTACAAGTTATTCAATTTCATACTCTTTCAAATTTGTATTATAACTTTTACACACATAACTTCTCCAACAGTTCAAATTATTTGTTATGCACCAAACTATATATTTTTAAAAATATATAAATTATTTTTGTTATGCTAAATTATTTTTAAAACACAACTTTCAATTCTAAATTAATAATTAAACAGAAAATACAAACTTATGCACTAAACTATTTTTTAAACATAAAACATAATTTTTCAATTATTATGATAAAATTATGATATAAATACTATTATATTATTCATTAACACAACAAAAATATATTAATACAAACTTTATGCAAAAGGTATATTAAAGTATACCAACCGCACAACTGTGCGGATCATGATCTAGTTCATAATTAATATACATAGTTTTCAAAATAATATTTAGAGAATAAGGTTTAAAATCTTGATTGTAAACCTAAACATTATTCATTATCAATGAAATATTTATATTTTTTAGCAAAAAGAAAAGAAAAAAAAAAGTGAAGAAAGGTAAATATGGATATTTTCCAAAATTTTGTTTTGTAAATGAAATATACAAAAGGGCAAACATATTTTGTGATGGATTACATATCTTTATGTTTCATATAGACAAAAATATATATATATATATTAGAGATGAGTGCGGATAAAGGTTTTCTGAAAAGTTATATTTATTATTATTGTGAAATTAATGATGTAAAACATACACATTTGAAACTTTGAGTAGTAAAAAGAAAGTTTTGAATAGTTGGTGTACTTTTAAGGAAATCTAAATAATTATGTGTACTACTCGTCTATGAAAAAAAGTCTCTAGAGTTGCAAGTCAACTAGCAAGGGCCTCTGTGTAATCTTTTTTCCAAACAAACTAGAAACAGTTTTTTTCCGGCCATGGCTGGATCTTCCTCACCCGAAGAAATGCCACCACAACATCAAGTGTTCATTCATTTCCGTGGCCGGGATTTGCGTTATGGATTCGTGAGCCATCTTGAGAAGATCTTGAAAGATCATAAAATTGAGGTCTTTGTCGACAGCGGTGAAGACAGAGGCGAACACCTAGAAAATCTATTGACGAGGATAGAGGAATCGCGAATCGCTCTGGCTATCTTCTCTGAGAATTACACCGAATCAGAATGGTGCTTGAGAGAGCTAGCGAAGATCAAGGATTGTGTGGATCAAAAAAGACTCGTGGCTATTCCCATCTACTACAAAGTGGATCGATACTCCGTGAAATACTTGACGGAAAAGTTTGGTGATGCATTCAGGGAGCTGGCCAAGGATGATCTGAGGAAGAAAGAGTGGAAACAAGCTCTGCAGTCAATTGTCAACAGAATCGGCTTCATGGTGGACGAGAAAAGGTAACTGATTTTGCCCAAGGGCTTGAGAATTAACCAAAATCTCGACCTTTGAATATTGTAAAGGTTGACAGTAGAGATTCATGGAATTCAGGAAAGTAAAAGTTATTTTTCCGAACTCGTATTGCAGCAACGAGAACGAAATTCTCAACGAAATCGTCAAGGCGGTTAAGTTTGTGCTGAACAGAATTCCATCGGAGGGAAGCCAAAAGGCTTATGCGGATCCATCAGAAAATAACGACACTCAAACTTCCTCAGGAGGCGAAAAGGATAAGACTTTTGGAATCAAACAAAGACTGAGTGAATTGAAAGAGAAGTTGGAACTCAATAAACTTAGAAGTCAGCTAGGAATTATAATAGGTTGTCTTTTGCTTCTCTTTTTTGTTCTGCAACAAATTGCTTATATGAGCACACGTTTAATGTAAGTACTATTTTTGCAAAAGACTTACAATTTTCATTTGCTACTTGGTTTTCTTAGAATTCTATTGTTGGAATAGAGACTTGACGACCAATTTGTTTTCTCTCACTTTCTTACCAGTGGTGAGGGCGTTGCCATCGACAGAATTGCGGTGAATTTACAAAAAATGCCGGAGTACATTCCTGCAGATGGAACAGAGAATCCAAGAGACACATATACTGAAATTCGTACTGATAAATATGAAGCAAAGCCTGAGAGATCTTCTTCTGCCGCTAGATTGAATGCCGATTTCCTTGACAGGTGACCTATGGAGACACTTTGTTTTTTCTAAACACTTTGTCTTTAAAAAATTAACCATATGTTATCTCTTTTGGTGTGAAGAACTTTCACCAACTCGCGAATGGACGGTAAATTCAAGCCACCGAATATTCAAGTTTTCATCAATTTCCGCGGAGATCAGTTGCGCAACAATTTCGTCGGATATCTCAGGCATGCACTTCGGATTAGTAAGATCAACGTGTTCATAGACAATGAGGAGCAAAGAGGTGAAGACCTCAACACTCTTTTCAAGAGGATCGAAGAATCTCAGATTGCCATAGTTGTGTTTTCGAGTAGGTACACAGAATCAAAATGGTGCTTGGATGAGCTTGTTAAGATTAAAGAACGTGTGGACCAAGGCCTTCTCAAGGTATGATCAATAAACATTGGATATACCTCTATATATCTTATTTAGGAAAAGAAATTGATTTAAGATCTATACCAATGTTATTACTTACTATTGAAGGTGCAGATTATACATCTTTTGACACATATTACTAACATTGGGAATATCGTTACTCTCTATCACAAGGTGCTTCCTATCTTCTACAAGGTGACTCCAACCAATGTGAAAAGACTTAAGGGAGAGTTTGGTGACCATTTCAGAGATATAGAATACATGTACAAGTCTGACGAACCTATGATAAAGCAATGGAAAGAGGCGATCGTGTTTGTCTCCCATAAGTTTGCCCTGACTTTGGATGAAAAAAGGTACGAATGTCAATTCATACTTTTAATTCTATGTTTTATTGAGAGGCGAAAGAAATCTCTAATCTAGAAACAAAATTTTGACATATTTCAACATTGTATATGCATTTACTTAATTAGTTCATCGAAAATGTTAACGTATTGTTAGATCTGATTAAATTCATCGAAGTCGTGCAACTTTTTTATGTGTATGTGCACGCTCATGTGTCAACTTTGAAAGAACTCATCTCGACCTTTTTTTAAACAAGTGTAGTAGCTTATTGGAGATTGATTTCGTTGAAACTATCGTCAAGGAGGTCTTGAAAATGCTACAAGCCATATGCAAAGTGGAAAGTGGCCAATCCTCTTTTTGTGTGGAGAAAGCCTGAAGCTCAATTTTGATGGTAAAGAATCACACATGAAGATCACCAAAACGTTGGTTTATTTACTTCAGCAGAGTAATTTATTAGTATCATTAAATTATTGAGTTAAGGATTCTGGTTATGTCTCATTGAAAAAAATGTTTCTTTATAAGTAAAAACTTGAGAGCTCCTGAAATTGTTTGTCATTTTACCAAAAGTCTGATCATTGATTCTTTGAATGATATTGGGGTTAGCTTCGTTTTGAAGTACCACAGTTATATCTAGTAATGTTAATATGGGCGGACCCAGCCCGTTTAAGCCCGACCCGTTTAAATCCGGCCCGTTTAACATAATATGGTGCTGAGTGACTCAACCATCACGAACCAACAAAAAGACAAATAAACCCCATATCTTTTCTTTTTAATCTGTTTAAATTTAGACATGATTAACAACTGTTGATTCTTGTGGCTGGTTCGATCTTCAAAGGTAAAAAATCAAGTGAAGGTTATGTTGCCTCCTGTTGTTGTCTTTATAATCTTAGAACTATACTTCTCTTCTATTCTAATTTTTGCAATAGATTTCCACCTCTGTGTTTTTCATCCTTGTATTTCTCTTCTCGATGCAGTAAAGAAATTTAAGTTAAATGCTCTCACCTAAGTTTAACAGAATTTTATGAACGATGTAGGATACATTTGTATTGGGCCTCATATTTTTGAGGCCCAAATTTCCAAATTTTTTTTTTTTAAGGCTCCAAAATTAGCAAAAAAAATTTTCAAAATTAGTAAAAAGACCTCATAATTAATAAAAATACTCTATAATTAGTAAAAAAATCTCATAATTAATAAACAATGTCCAAAAATTAAAAAAAATTAATAAATAAAATTATGAATGTCTCATAATTAACAAAAAAAAAAACAAAAAGTAGTAGTTTTTATTTTTTAAAAAGCCCCAATTTTTTTTTGTATTTGGCCCCAGAACTATTGAAAGCTTTGTAAGGAACTATTGAAAGCTTTGTAAGGAACATCATTTTAATGTCTCATAATTCATCTTTCCACTATGGATTCTGGCTGCTAATATGCAGACTACATTCTGCCTGCAAGTTAAGCCTCATCTACGAGTGTGTGTGTCGATCAGGCTGTCTCCACCTGGCCTCAGCCGTAGGAGACTTAAAGGTTTTCCGACTAGACCAGGCCTAAATTTTTTAGTCTAATAAATATGACGCACAAGCAAGAACTAATAATAAATATGACGCACAAGCAAGAACTAACACATGATTAGAAAAACAGACACCCAAATTATGTGCCAAATCAAACATATGATTTTGAATCTTACAACATAACATCATTGGAAAAACTGAAAATTTACATTTTTATGGAACAGTGACTCGAAAACAGAACAAATTTATAGTCATGCAAGACAAGAGACATTAAAGAAGACTTCAGATATACACTGAATTTGGTCTGCTGAAATGAAAAACGAAATATTTACTGATTGCGTAAACAAGTCAAGTTCTTACCACTTTTGGATTTCATATGAGTGTTTGACAAGAAACAGTCAAAAGACTTGAGATGTTTACTGATTGCAGGTGACAGGAATTAGGACGTCTCCTCCTTGAGCTTTGTGAACATCAAATTCTCCAAAGGACGGATCTTGAACACATCATATTCTAAATTTAGATTAGTCAACCCCCGCTGAAGACTTTGGCTCATCTCGAGTGCTTTTTGACATATCTTTCTTTTAAATGTAGGCGGTGATTCTACCAAGTCTGGATTTGTTATCCTTCCTTGGCTACTTTGGAAGCTTCTGAGTTTCAGGAAGTCTAAGATATGGGGCTCAGGTGTTTGTAAAACGGGTTTTCGCTGATTGTCTAAGAATTCGTGTAAACTCTTAACAAATAGTGTGACCGGAGGAAAGATGGTCTTAATGGATGATACCTCGAATTTCAATTCGACATTAGATGGAAATTCTGGGAAACTTTGGACTTGTGTGCAACCAGAGAGATCAACGACTCTAAGTTGATGCAACTGATGAATGTCAGGGAATCTTTTCAAGTTCTTACAGCCGCAAAGATCAAGTTTCTCAAGGTTTCGAGCTTCTGAAAGTTCATCAACTTCAAGCAGATTCTGTGAATGGCGCAGGTTGATCCTCTTCAGCATCTTGAGGTTCTGAAAATAAAGAGAAACACAGTTGAAGTAATTGGCTAAAGGAATAACAGAGAAGGTACTACTTTTCATTTGAGTCTACTTACTTTGGTTCCTTTCCAAAGTGTTTGGAGTTGGCTGTAAGGCATATTCTTAGGTTACTCAAGGTCCCCCTCGTATTTTAAGCTGCAGCTGCCGTCCTCGGGGTCTTTTTTGACTCC